CCCCCCCCCCCCTCCATTTCTGTGGGATTCATTTGTCCCTAGTACCTTCAAAGAATGCCTACCGCAAGACCCAAGTTATTTACAGAAAGGTGAAACTGACATTAAATAGTCATTCTAGCTAGATGAATAGGGGACTGACATCTTCATCTTCCCAACAACCCTGTGGTATAGACAGGACAATTCACCTTCATTTTATGAATGAAGAAATGGAGGCTTTGCGAGCTCAAAAATCTCCTCCAGAGCCAGTAATTAGAACATGGTGGCTCTGGCATGCAAACACGGTATCTTCTGTCTTCCCCAAGATAGTATTAATCATAGTAATGAATGGAAGGTATTGCCCTCCCAAGAACCCCTCACAGGAGTGGCTAACACACTCTTATCATCTACCATCTGCCCAGAAGCCTGGTCCTCTCCCTGGAGGCCTCCCAGGGCTGGGCTCCATAGGAATGTGTCTGTCTTATCTCCTGGGCAACTTGGACCCTGCTCTGCAGAGGGAGGGACCGCGGGGTGGGCCATCAAGGGTCAAGAGCTCGGAGCTGCACGTCCTCTGAGAAAAGCACTGTGGTGGAGAGCGGGGCCTCGTTTGTAGAAGAGGGGAAAAGCGACCAGGGAGAATTTTCCAAGACTCGACAAATGAAAATGTTCCAATACTTAATATTTTCCTGAAATTCGTGCAAGGCTTTAAAAAAAAACCACTTCCCTTTTAACAGAACAGAAATGGTGACAAGGTCAAACTCTGTTCTAAGATAGGCTGCTCTAGATAACTTAGGCATCTCCAGGGCTGTTTGACAACCAAGTGCGTCCTGAAGATGACACAGCGGGTATCTACTTCTCATTACACAATGACACTTCATTTAAACAATTATTTGCTGTGTTTGCAGAAGGAGTCAGTTTTAGCTGCAAAGGAAACGAGTAATTTAGAGTATTTTTCCAAAGTTACAGAAGGACAGAGGTTTTACAAGAAGCATCCCAGTAGCAGACTACAGAGTATATGATCTGTATATGTTTCAAGATAATCCATCGAAGTTGGATTGTATAGCAAAACCAGCAAGACGGGGACCAAAGTTGATCTCTCTAAGGAAACGAATACGTAAACCCCTTAGAGTGGGAATGTAAGAATGTCAGTTAGCAATCTAAATCCCCCCCACACCTTACTAGTCCTTTCATTGTAACTTTTGGTCATCACCAATCTGTGTGTGTTCAACAGTATCATTGTCCTTTTCAAAAAAACAAAACAAAACAAAACATATTCAGTCTACAAATAGTCTGCCCCACTTAAAAAATGTTAAAGATTATTTACCTACCAGCGTTTTGACCACAGCAGCTATAAAATCTGCAAATTACAGATACACGAATGTGCATAATCAATCTCTAAGAGGAACTCTAGCAAATACATGCATAAAATATCACCCACATCAGGGCTGGAGGGGAGGAGAAACCAAGTGAGATTTTGTAAAACTTTTAAACTGAGTTTTTGTAACCAGATTACCACATGTTATTATAATAAATTGTTCAAAACATTTCAACAAGGCCCAAGAGGGAAGTCTACAGAAAACAAAATAAATCTATTAGCCTAGAGAGAATTTCAGAAGACGCAAGGCACAATTTCAGAAACAATATTATAGTTTCAGTATTTGCTGGTCCTTGAATGTCATAGGCTGTACCTAGAATAAGCCAGTGTGACAAATTAGGTAAATATGCATAATGAACAGAACAAGTATCTCAAGTCTACTGCTGTCAAATCAGAGCCTTAACGCGCCAGAGGAAGAGACTGGAAATGGCTCCCATCTTTTCCTTTTCAATGAAAACAGGAATCGTTCTCAAAATGGGAGTGATTTCCATGAAAAGTCTATTTCTATGAACACATGGACAGAGCCCTTGGGTTCGTTATTACTAACACGCTGAAGACTGTTACTGTGAAGTTTTTGAGAATTTCTATTTAAAAAAAAAAAAAATCCAACCTCAGGCCTTTCTGCCTGTGCTCAAATTTGGGTCTGCTTTTTTTTTTTTTTTTTAGATTTTTTTTTTGCCCTCGGGTACATGGTGCATGTGCTCTCCAAAGAGAGACAGAGAGAAGGAAAGTGAGAGATCACCCCTTAGGGGCATGGCCATTTTGCAATCCTTCTCTTTCACTCTCCCCTTGGGATCTGGAAATGCACGCGCATGCGCCCAGTGTGATTTTCAAGATGCTGGGTCTGAGACCCGAACTGCAGGCAACCATTTGGGAATCCAGTGCCTTAACCACCATGCCACCTGTTGGCCCTGATCTTCTAATCCTTAAAGCACCCCAACATCTAGTCCCTCATTCCCTTTGCGTGGCTAGCCTGTGGGATGAGAGAAAACCGCAGGTCAACCAGAACATGCTAGAGTCTGACTACAGACCGAGGGCCGGCTTCTTTAAGGCTTTTCTTGTTAACACCGATCCGGGGGAACCGACAGCAATGCAGCCTCAGGAATGGCACTCAGAGCCAGTGTGAGTTGCTGTCGAGTACAGAGGATGCCCTACCCTTCAGAAAGGAAAGTTCACTTTCAAATCGCACTAATATTTCAGGGAAAAGAAATATTCAAGAATTTAATTGCGACTGTTTGGGCTGAAATGCTGGCTGGGATATTTTTATGACCCAGGGATTCCTAAGCTGCTGCTGCTGTTCAGAAGGCCCACTTTCTGAGTGGCTTAAACTATGTGGAATGGGTGATCTGGGGCAATGCTGAAATATTCCCTCAGCTCCATCGTAGAAGTGACCTCATTCATATGCACATCACCAGTGATGAGCTGGACATAAATGAACTCTGTCCCACAGCTAAGCGCGAAAGAATTTTAAACATGTCTGGAGTAGTTCTTATTCCAGGTCTGACTGCTTTCTGTCCGCAGACCTCACCACGACATCTCCTTCCAGATGACACGGCCGTGGTTTCACATGCTGCCGCGCTGCACTTGGGGTTCGCTTTCTTTCAGAAACTGTACATGTTCCCTGGATTTAACTAGGTTTGAAAAATGACAGTGTTTCTGTACTTAATCCTTTTTTTTTTTCCTTTTAACCCATGAGCCTTAGTGGATTCCACACACAGTTCTAAACATCCCATCTGTCTTTCCCCACGACCATGGCTTGATTTGGCAAACAGCAGCGGATTACACAAGGAGGGAAAGGTGCTTCCAGGAGCCACAACTGCCCTCTTTGCCTGCACAGGGCGAGTCACACTGGACCCCCTTCTACCGGGACGATTTTCCTCCAAGTTAAATACTGAAACTAAAGAGAAAGAAATGATTTAATTGTATAATCGAATCAACATGGGAATTTTGTCTCTAGTGGAGTCTGGAAGGATGACTGGGGTCCCCTCATCGCCTGCTGCCGGCTTAACTGCTTCCTCCGTCTGAAGACCCTCCAGCAGGAAGTAAGGACTGATGGCTCGCCCCCGTTCCCGTCAGGGCTCGCGAACCCCTCTGCTAGCCACTGAAGGTTGCGTCGGGTCATTCATAGTCTTATTTAACCCTACCGGTACTATTTCATACCTGGGGAGATCGAAGAGGCTCAGAGGCATTTCCAGGAATTCAAGCGATGGTCCTGACTCTAACATGCCACAGTCCCCACCCCCATTTCTTCCTTTGAATGATTCATTTCCGGTCATTGTGACGGCAGCTTGGGCTGCTTGGGTACCTGGCTGGGCTTGCAATTCCATCACATTTAAGACCTCTTATTCCAAGTTTCCAAACCATCTGAAAGTGGCCTGCTTCAGCAATCATATGGTATCAAATACGGAATGGGATTATTTGAGTACCTTCTAGGATAGCATACATACTATTTTAAAGGCTATCTTAAATAAGGGATTTTACGTCATTTTTAATGAAAAAGACTATAAATTATAACAATGTCATTGACTATATAAAGTACTAATCAAAGACTGAACATAGGGGGACCAGCAGTTAGTGTAGTAGCTATGTTGCTGGACTCCCATGTAGTCGACCGCGGTTCGAGTCCTGGACCCGGTGGCTTAAAACTCACGCCGGGCACATGTGCGTGCGTGTCCAAGTTTCTGTGAGGAGAATGGAGGGGACTGCGGTGTGCCCCCCCAAGGGGGTGATTTCTCACCTTCTGTCTCTCTGTCCCTGTCCCTCTCTGTCTGGCGAGTGCATGCGCCCTATAGCAAAAACCTCTCCAAAAAAAAAAAAAAAAGAAGACTGGACATAGAACAAAAGCAAACAAAGACATTTTGGTAAGTATTACAAGGTGATGCCAAGAAGTCTGTGTAAAAATGGAATTAAAGTATGAGTTGATTGTTTTGGAAATTCATGCACAATTTTTTCAAAATATGAAATCTCTATGAACTTTTTGAAAACCACTTGTATGTCCTTAAAAAAACAGGAGAGAAACGACAAGAAACTGGGAGCATGCCCATTTACCTGCATAAAGCCTCGATGGCGTCTCTGTCCAAGAAGTCATGCTCTCTCTTGACCGAGGTAACATCAATGGGGAACAGCAGATCTGCAAGGATAGAGAGAGACACATTCACTGTGCACCTGGCTTCTGGCCGAGCTCCACAAGATTAGCAAAGAAAAAGAAAAAACAAAACTCCAAAGCAATTCACTGGGATCTTACTGCATGCGAGCTGTCTCTTT